ATCAGACAGCGATGCGCCGAGCTGTTGGGAGAACCAGCCGTCAGCCCGCGCAGCTAACAGTAGCCGCGATCAGATAGAGATGGACCGGGCTGCGGGGAGAAACAGCCGGGATTCCGGGTGGAAAACATCGGTCTCCCGAGAGCTCCACAAGCCAATAGTCGGAACCCAGCTCCACCAACATGTTATATTTCAACCCATTTTCTAAAGTGCAGCATTATGTTAAATGCACTGGGTTTTACCCTATTACATTTAAATTTCATGGTTAAACAGTACATGTTAAAATCTAAGCTCAGCTCGGCAGTGACCTAAAATACATAAATATAATTTTACTTACCGAAAAAATGAAGTGGAGACTCCTTGGACGCTCTATTAGTGCAATTAATGCCACAGCAAGTCATTTTGTCCAACAATTGCACAAAAAAATATCCAAAAAAAGAATACACAAACACAGAGACTCAAAATCCCGGAACAGTTTCCAAGCCAGACCGAGGCTCTACTGAGGCCTTTCCACGGAGCTAGCTCTGTGGTCACGTGGGTCTGATGCTCATTAATTATACAGAATTTTAGGCTTTTAATACACTTAAACAGAAGAGTGAGAAAAAAAATTCACCCCCCTCAGAGTTTTCATGAGTGTAAACTAGATCATTTAAACAAAAAACATGTTCTGGTACCAGGCTGTAAACATGTTTATTTCTGCTGTGAAATTGGTATTTTTAACATGGGAGTCATTGAGGATTTGCTCGCTTCTGACACCAGCCCCCAGCGGATGAGGGTGGAACTGCATTTTTTCTTACTTGCGGGTTGGCCTCAATTTTACAGCCGCATTGTGGGGGGCCTGGGGCAGACACAGGTGTCAGAGACAGACGGCAGCAGCTCAGCGAGTTCTTCTCATGAGCAAAAAGAAAGAAAGAAAGGAATTGTGAGTTGGTAATAATTTAGTCCAAGAGTATAATTGTATTTCTGGTCAAACGCTAAAATGGCTGACTAACGTAAACATCTTGCTAGTTAGCATTAAACATTAAACAACACTACTACTAGTCAACAAAAAAATGACGAATTTTACAGTAACAGACAAAAACCATTTGACACGAAATAAATAAAAAAGTAGAATCTCCACATAAAAATGGAGTTTGTAAGTGTGATTGTTGCTTGTTTGTTACATTCTCATCACATTTCATTTTTAAACCTTATTCATGTCACTTTTTTCATATAAGAGACCAGAGGAAGTTCAGCAGGAAAATGATGAAGAAGGTGAGACAGGCAGCGCCAGACCTGCTGAGGGTGAGACAGGGAGCACCAGACCTGCTGAGGGTGAGACAGGGAGAGCCAGACCTGCTGAGGGTGAGACAGGGAGCACCAGACCTGCTGAGGGTGAGACAGGGAGAGCCAGACCTGCTGAGGGTGAGACAGGGAGCGCCAGACCTGCTGAGGGTGAGACAGGGAGCGCCAGACCAGCTGAGGGTGAGACAGGGAGAGCCAGACCTGCTGAGGTGCAGGTAGGTGCTACAGTGAAGAATGAGATGGTTTTAGGTTGCTGATGAGAGGAAGATTTGAATGTAATAATAAGTGAACACAGTTAAATATACTGTATGTATCCCATAACAAGTAGGGCTGGGCAGTACGGTTTAAGAATAAAATAAATGCTTCCTTAGAAATATTAGAAAAATAAGTGTTAAACTCTGCATTCTGGTGCATTTAGACTGCAATTTTGGCCACTGTTTTTTCTTTTGTCCATCTGAAAATTAACGTAGTTCCAGCTGTTGTTGTAAGTGAATTATTTCTTTTTTCATTCTGTCAGAAGCAACCAGATTTTTCTGATTGGTGGTCAGCATTGTTGGCTGATGTAGTTTAAAATATTCTGATGAGTCAGATCAATTCAGACTGAATATTCCCAGCTTTAGTCTTGTATTAAATCTGTTTACACATCTCTACCCATATGAATAAGATAATATATCCTACATTCATACTATTAAATAAAAATAAAACAGTACTGACACATAAACAGCTTTTTTTATAATCAAAACGCCCACGTTGGCCAGTAATCACCTGGATCTGGCTAATGGGGAGCCTAAGTCTCCTCCCCTTCTGGCTGGCTCATGGGTCCCCGATCAAAAAAAAAACACAGAATGTTAGTGAACTGGGCTATAAAAGTTATTTTCTTGTCTTTCTGGGCTTTTACTTACGCCCTGAGTCACGTCTGTCAGACTTTTCTAATCCTAGAGTTTCACCGTCTATCAGATTTTCCATCAGAAGCTAACGCAGGAGATAGCGGTAGGAGACTATGTTCATGTTCAGCCTGCATGAAACACTCAGTGACACGTTAGAATCAGAAATAATCATTAAATGTATTTTTTTCAGTGAAGATGACCTATATATTGACCTAAAACAGATTTGTTGGATTTCCAAAATGTGTCCCCCCCAATATTAAACTCGTTCCTACGCCCTTGCTCTTTCCAACAATTTTCACAAGAAAACAAAACGGTCAAAAGCAGGGCTTGTGTTGTGTTGACCGGACAGTTCCCGTATTTGACCGTTTATTTTGACGGAGAAAGAATAGAAAGAATTACCCCGCCGCATGCAGACGAACTGACATTTTATTCGTTACGCACATCGCAGATGTAGCTAAATCACCCATGAAAAGATTCCCATTTGAACATCTGAGCTGGACATTGCTCAGCTCAGCTCGCTGTCAGCGCATATGTGCACAGCGAGCTGAAGATGTGGAGAGGGGCTTGGAGCGCATCGCAGAACCAGAGCGCATGCGGGAAGGTTCCTCCCACTGAAGCGAGTGTTTTCCAAACCCTGTCACTCAGAGAGACTTGTCACTTAGAAAATGTTCCCTGATTATGAAACTTTGGCTGAATAGCGCTTGTTCCTGTCTCCAATGTGGTGACGCATCCAGGAGCCGTCTGAGGAGAAGCCCAGAATCTCACATCCTCTTCAGCTCAGAAAGCGCCTATGATTACGCACAAGCGTGACCCGTCAACCCGGTCTCACAGTAAGACTGGGTTGGGCCTGTTCAGGTTTACGCAGACAATCTTTACATATAATTGACTTACAGATATAAAATTAATTCAGCAAAATATAAAGCATTTTATTTAAATATCCATTCATTATTTTACAAGCACAGAGAGCCGCATCAGATGGATGGAAGAGCCGCAGGTTGCCGATCCCTGGCATTACCTATAAAATGACATGTTGAGGACGCAAACTCAATACATCTCTTTTATTGTGAGGTAATAATTTCTCCGAGTTTTGCGGGTGCGGGCGGGAGTGTAACACACACGCTGCAGTTGCGGGCGGTAATGGTCAGAAATTCAGCGGGAGCGGGCAGGAGCGGGATGAAGAAAACAGTCCCGCGCAGGGCTCTACTGCTGCGTTTAAGTGTTTCAATTTTTTAAAATTAATTCGATTAAAAATGAAGGCGCCCGGCCCGGCCCGTGTCCGAGGTAATTACACAGTCGTTGGCCCGAAGCCCAGCCCTCGGGCCGTCGGGCCGGGCCGACCCGAGGGCCTAGGGCTTCAGTGCAGGGCTCTAATGTCCAGCAATGGTCAGTTTTCACCTACAGATTGATTGTAAAATCCACTTTAGAGAATGGAATTTATGTCTGCAGATGACCGGTGGCATGTAGGTCAATCTGTAGGTGAAAACTGACCATTGCTGGACGTTACATGTGATAACAAAATATCCACCCATTTTCTGTTACTGTTTGGTTTTAGGAATTATGTTCCTAAAACAAGCTGTTTAAAAAAATCCCTGTTTGTGATGTCACAAAAAGAAATTAGCATAGAACCACCTCTCATGTGCAAGAAAGCTGCTGCTGTTGGAGCAGCAGCACTACCATGAGCCCCTCCCAGATATCTGATTTTTATCAGCTTATTGCAGCCTGAGTGTGGGATGGCTGGGCGTGGCCAGCTCCAGCTTGTTTTCTTAAAGTGACAGCACCCTGAAACGGCTCATTCTGGAAGGTACTGAAACTGTCAGGAATGAAAAATGCTGGAATCGCTTTATGTTAGAAGAATTTAGTGGTAAGGGAATTCATAGAGAGTTATTTTATATTTAGGTGAAGTAAGAAGGATAATGGATCAACTTCTCTTTAAATGTTCAGGTTAAAAAGAGCTACTATCACTGAACTTTTAGTGTAAACCAACATGAAGGCTTCAAAACCAAGTGTGCATTTTAGCTAATTAAAGCGTTTCCTTTCCGAAATCACTTTGACTTTATAAATTCATCAATGTCACGGCTCCAGCAGCCATGATGCCTGGGAGCGGGGGGTCACCTGTATGCAGCATTACCGAATTAGCCGCTATCTAACCCAGACCTGCTGCGGCGTGCTGACACTAATCCGGGGCCCGCTGGAGAGCTCTGTCTGTGTTACAGTATCATGTCTAATCCCCGTAATCTCTCAGCCGCGCTGCTAAACGCTATTTCACCTCGGCCTCTTACCTCATCCCACTCTAATAATATTAATGAAGAGCCGGGGCCCCATTACAGAGCGCTGGGCTGGGTGACGGCCATGATCCGAGGCCCCCTCCCTGTGTAGCCACCCACTCAGCCTTCTAGGCAGCAGGAATTAATGTAATTCACTGCCTGGGGCAAAAAGCAAAGCAAACATATGTTCAACAAATCAGGGTTTGTGTGTTTTCTTGTCACCATTGCTGTGCAGGTCTATTAGAGTCACTGATGAGCTCCTGTGAGTAGAGCCAGCCACGGGGGAGAATGCAGACTTTCAAGTGGCACTTTCAAAGCCCCCCCCCCCCCCCCCCATCCCCAGCCACTTCATGATGATCTGACCAGAGTTATTAAAATACCACAGAAATGATCACCCATAATGCTGCTCTGCTTTGCTGTCAGTGAGGAATGGCAGCAGAGGATTGGCTGGGATGAAAAGGTTGAAAGGGGTCCCGTATTAAAAAATGGCACTTTATCCATTAAAGCTGGATTTCTACTGTCTCTTTGTGTAATTACCTGCACCCGGCAGCTCCGCGCCCGGGCTTACCTTGTTTACTCTGCACGTCTCGCAGCCTGGCTGTCTCCCTGCGAGGCTGCGTTACACCGTCTTCAGCTCTGCCTTTGTCTCTCTTGACGTCTTTCACTTGTCTGTCCCGACTGTCAGGACCAGCCTTGAAAGAGGAGGCGTAAACACACCCAGAAGAGCAATGTCAATGAAAGCACTGACACAAGTTAAAGCAAGCATCCTAATTTGTTTTTTTCCTCCTCTGTTTAGTCACGTAGATGTTGCATTTATTTATTTACAATTTGGCACTCATAACTCAAACCCATTAATGTGCTTTGCAATGTTAATCAAATGCTAATGCAATTGCATATCCCCCTTTTTACTAGTCCTACCTCCTAGCAAACAGCACCGCACTGACTTAATTGTGAGGGTGAAAAACAGCACATACAGACTTCCGCTCATATTTAATTTTATCTTTGAATAAAAGAGCTATAGGAAAGTATTAATCTGCTTAACATTTCTAAGTACATCCTCCAAAGGATTTTGCTTTTTTAATCTTACATATGCTCAGCAGAGTTACTGGCAAAAACTGTACATTTTCCTCATTTCATCCTTTCAACATCAAATGGTGAGCAGCAAAAATTGGATCAGACTTCAAAGACTGCGATGTGCTCCAAGTCACGGAGTGGCTCTTCTATTTCACATATTGAATCCGAGCAGGATATCAAAGTGCTACCAAAGAACCTCAGGTCTTTACTAAAAAAGGGGTCTAACATCTGTAGAAAGAGGAGCGCAAAGACAAATCACCTCGGGGAAGAGCGAGCATTTATTCTCAGCCGTGAATTTCCAGCCTTTTGATTCTCTCGTTCCTGTACCACCCTGTCTCCTCCGCTGAGATGGAGGTTGTGGCAAGAGAACTCTTTTTGTCTCAAGGACTCAAAAAAAAAAAAATCCCAGTGAATAATCTGGGTTAAAGCTGCTTTGTAGACGAGCAGCATTTTTAAGAGGATGCTCATTGATATTCTGCAACTTACGTTTCCTTTCTTTATGTTATCTGGTTGTGCCTCTTTGCTCTTTAGGCCGTACCTGTAGAGAAAAAAACACGATTTAATTCACTTTTGTTATTAAAAAATAAGAACACTAGTTTATGATTATGCAATTTGCAAAGAGCAAGTTGTGGATACTTGTCTGTGCACAGTCACCGGTGTTACTTTGATTGAACGGCACACCAGAAAGGCAACATGTGCACACACGCAATGCTACAGCAACCATCACGCTACAAGTTTTGTGATCAATTTGTGATTTGTGGAGGCTCTGCTGTTTGGACACCAACACGGAATTGAAACACGGCAAAGAAGAAAGGTACCAAAAGGGAAAAGAACAGCAAGTAGGTGAGAATATGGATCGTACAGGAGGAAAAAAATGAGCCGGATCGTGTCAAAAATAAATGTGTGGAGAGATTCCAGGACTGATTAAACAGAATTGTGAAGTGGAGGTTTGAAGTTTTTTTTTTTTTTTTTTACTCACAGAGGAATACGATTGTAAACACGGAGAGAAAAATCCCTGATGAGGCTTGGCTCGGTTGGAGTTTATAACAAGCACAACATTTTCAGATGTGTAAATCTGGTATTTTCTGACTGGAGAATGAAGACGAATCACAGAAGATCTGAATGAGACGTTTTGCTGTTGTGAAAACCCTGATGTGCAATAAAGTCCCAGAGATTAAAAAAAAATGTTTTAACTGTAACCCCCCCCCCCCATTTAAAATCATTCAGGAAAACGCTCAGGGAATTTGTGATGATTGATAAAACACACCCGACGTGCAGTCGGTGGCTGCTCCCATGCCTTGCGCATACTTTCATAATGACTGGCCTGCCCATGTGCTGAATAAACACAAATCCCTCAGCTCGTACATCTGGAGACCAGCGCAGCGCCCAACCCCATTTGTGGTCAGACAACTGCACTATCTCCGTGGAAAGTTATTTATTACGTTTATAAAAGTGAGAGAGGCGGTGCATGGGGAGGAGCTTTCTCCTCTGGAGGGCAATAGCAGAACATTATAGTAGAACAGAGGTGCTGAACATGAATGACAGCTCATGAAAGAGTTCTTTAGTAAAACATGCTTGTTTTTATACTTTCTGCCAGTGGCATCCCCAAGGGGTGGCCCGGCCCCCACTAGAAAAGTGCTGGCTACTCTTGCACTCTGATACATCTAAGTTCACAAAAACTATACATTCATTTTCTTTAGGACATAAATGTAAAACCCCACAAATAAATTAATAATTATTTAAATAAAAATAGATATTTAAAGAGTTTTTTGGATGCTTCGTCAACAACAGGCAAATAAACTGTTCTAAAATGCTAAATCAATACATGTTTAAAACATTGAAAAGACTGAAATGTTTTAGTTTTTCAAATTTGAGGCAAATATGTTGGATGCGTTTCGGTTTTTCATAACAAATGAAGAGGCAATGCAACACACAGCTAAAAGCTCGCAGAGTAACCACCGAGACCAATTTATTGCGCCACCCTCAAATTTTCCCTTACCCCCATAAAACTTTTTTTGGGGGGTGCCACTGATTTCTGCAAATTGACAAAATTTAAATTGTAGGAAAGTTGGTAATCCACGAGTTTCCTAAGGGATAATTAAAGCCAACGCTCACCCAGTGGTCTCCTCTTTGGTGGGATGACATTTCTGCCTCTGGGGTTCAAGGTCCTGAAATACCCGATGGCCCCTGTAAGCTGCACAGGAATAAAGTGTCATCCTTCCACACTTGATATTATTAAAAACAATTAATTACATTGCAATAAGTGACCATTTGCATGTCATTCAGCATTCATCAAAGGAGTCTATAGTTGGAAAATGTTCTGTGATTATTGAGACACGCTGGGCTCAAATGGACGGTAAACGAAGCATGCGGAGAACCCGTCAGCAGGCTTTGTGTTGTTCTGGTAAAATTATATGCACGAGAAAAGAAGAGCTCGAGTACATTGTTGAGCAGTGGTTGTACTTTGCATGGTCTAATCTGATCGATGGCGAGCATATCCCCCGGGTCCTGCTGAGATCTGAGACGCCACCAGGCTCATGCATTTGAAAGGCATCTGTTTATTTTCAACATGCAAATGCAGCCCACCTCAAAGGCTATAAGCTGCAGAGAACACACAATGTGAATGTGCTGGAGTGCAGCGCCGGGGGGGCCGAGGGCCCCACTCATGTCAGGTTCAGGTTCCCTCCCCCCCTCCCCCCTTGCCGTGAACCCCGGCGGCCACACACAAACACGCTCGTCTAAAAAGAAAGGAGCCGGTGACAGAGAGGCTTTCCTCACACCAAAACCGTGTTTACCCATCCTGCAGCTTTATTTACGAGGGTTTAATGGAGCACATTTACACAAGGTGTGCAGGCGGCGACTGAGAAGCTCCGTGCCAGATGAGGGCAGCCCTTAAGAGAGCCAGAGGAAACAATGCCAGATCTCCTCCCCCTTGCCCTCCCCTCTCCAGCCCCTTTTGGCACCCTCTCTTGTCCTCCAGCGAGAGGCTCCAAGAGTTGGAGTGGGGGGGTTGGGGCTGGGAAGGTTAATGTGCCCACTTTGATCTCCGGCAAGGCACACTGAGTAAGAATTAATTTACATTTCAGATGAAAAGGTTGACAGTATAAAAAGGCATCTTGTTTCTGGTATGCGAGAGCCGTAATGGGCCAGGAATCTGGGAGAGGAAGTCGCAAGGAAACAGAAGGGATAAGCCCCTCTCTTGCCTTTTACTGGGAATGAGATGAAAGGGGGAAAAAGGATCTCAGTATGCACGGTTCTTCTGAAACATGGGGACCAAATGCTGCCCAAACTTTCAAAAGCTTTCCTCTATGCATTACTAATTAATTATCACTATTTAGTGGGCCACTCCAGGAGATCAAAAAGGTGTTTCACAGAGATGGGAGGGTTTTTTAAGGCCCTTTGTCTTTCAGAAAAGGGATTTCTACCAGACACGATGCTACACAAGACAATCCAGATGTTTTCAATTGAATGCATAATCATAGATTAAAAATAAACATTTCACACCTGACTGGATGCGGTGTGCAGCTTCTTCCCGCTCCTTTTTTATTTGTTTGAGATTCTGCCGTGCTGCGTAGCCCCTCCAGGCTAGAGACGGGCAAAGAGACAAGGGTGTGTATGCGTGTAAAAAATTGCTGACCTACCTCTGTGAAACTAAATAGACTGCATATACTGCACAAGATCCCACTTCAAACCACAGCTAAACCAGGTGGCAGAAAGACGGATCCCTTTGAACTCTCTGAGGTCTTATTGTTTGCTCTGAAGCATCGCTCTTAACCCTCATGGGTCAACCTGTGGTTATCAAACTATCTCTTTTATGAACACACACACATGCGTGCACGCACGCATGAATGCACACACACACACACATTAATCTGAGTCCTAAAACCATCTCATCAACACTGATAAAATAACTCATTTGCACATTTGCAAATTGAGTTTGAATAAATGTGTTTTAATTAATCCACTATTACCTGACTGAATGACGATGGCTCCACGGTTTCTCTTCTCTTTCACCTTTCGGTAGCGTCGGGCTGCGAGCCAGCCTTTAGTGTAAGCTTGCATCAACACCACCCGAGCTATCACCTCCCGCAGCAGCAGATTCAGCTGCTCTACATGGTAGTACTTCAGAAAAACCTGAAGGACACTCAGTCAGCAACCAAGACGTGTGTTTAGTTCATAAATTCTAATTGTTTAGTATTTAAAAAGTATAAATCACCTTTGTCTTCCCCAGCACCCAGTCCTTTAGTTTGGCTCGCTCCAGTATGGCTACGGCGTTCCCTCTGCTCGTTTCTGGCATCTGGTGAGCCCGAAACGCGAGGTAAAAGTACCTGTAAGGCAAGAAAAAGGGTGGAACGTTTATTTAGCAACATAAGTAAAGTTTCTCTTTCCTGATACTCCCAACAGGCCTAATTCATAAGGGCTGCATTCCATTTGGAAGTTCTGCTCATTAGCAGCAGGCACAGCTGCTGATCTGGAATTCAGCCCTCGTTAACTCACCTGCTCTACAATCCTCAATTAGAGCAGTTCGCATAGCATTAAAAACTAAACTCACTATACAGGACTGTGATCATTAATATGTTTGTTTTTTACAGGTTTGCTCACCTTTCAAACACATTTTTGTATTTTACTTTGGATAAATACTTAAAAGTTCAGTTATTTTAAATCAAAAATGTTTTTTGTGCGTATTTTATTTTTCAGAATAAAGACAGTCATAGATAACCATGGACCAATCATGTCTATAAGGAATTTTGCAATGGGAGAATGTGCAAGAGCCAATTAAACCATTAATCTTTATTATATTAGAGTGATTTTGTGCATGTTTATTATTGAAAAGAGACATTTAAATGGGAAATTTGTTAAACCTCTTCTAGGCCTTTAGCTGTTATAAATGTTATGATTGAAAGCAAACTACAAAACAACACAACAAATTTTGCAAATGGAAAAAAATAACATAAATAATGTGGGGAAAATAGTTTCTGAACACACAAGTGGGTTTAACAATTTGATTTTGTTATTTTGTGTAAGTTATATTATTTAATGCCTAATTAATATTAAAGGGGACATTCAATAAAATCTTTTTCTTAAAGAAAAAAGCTGGAGCTAGCCATTCCTACCCATCCTTCACTCAGGCTGCTAAAAACTAAGAAGCTCAGTTATCTGGGAGGGGCTTGGAGTAGAACTACCGCTGCTGGTTTAATTTCAGGTTGTAATGTCATAATTGAGGACTTTTTGAAACGGCTTGTTTTAGGCACATTATTCCTAAAACCAAACACTGACAGAAAACGTAAAAATGTCCCCCCCCCCCCCCCCCCCCAAGTTTTGTTGAAAAGTGTTGGTAGAGGCAGTAGAGACACGGCAGCACAAAGAGATGCAAAAGGTGAGTTTAGCATAATGTGTCCCTATAAAAAAATTTTGATACAAGTTTAAGTAAATAAGCTAGAAATATTATCCCATTATCAGACGAACAACCAGTACAATCAGCAGTTGGGACATCAGCAGTCCAGACAAATAACCTAAGCCTTTAAACAGTGGCTCATTGTCGGAGCTTGTTGGGTCGATCGTCTCTTATTTCAACACTCGGGCCTATCAGTGTCCATCGGTGCCAGTTGTGTTTACTTCACACACCGTCTGAATCCAGCAATTCTATTATTATAGTTTACAAAATACCAGCACAGGACAGGACAGCCCTGAATGTTTGCACAGGGACATCAAATGTCCAGAACGGGTCCGTCTATTGTGCTCTGGCGTTGGTCAAAAAGAAGAACAACAACATGATGAAAAACTTCTTTGAACTCCCCTCCCCGCCTCAGTCTAAAGCCTTTCATACTAATTCCTGTTGATACCTGTTATTTCTTTGATGGTAAATACAAAGAACTGCAACATCAGACGAGCCTTTGATATGAGAGCACAAATTTAAATCAGTTTTCTCTTAAAGGTGCCGTTTAGCCAATCGGATTGGACTCCACGACCCCTGGCAGGCTCAGGTGGGATGATACGGACTCAGAAGCAAGGTTAAATATGAAGCAACACCTTCACATGTTTACACATCAAGCATGAGCACAGCAGAGACAACGGGATGGACTCGTCGTCAGGTCGTGTGTGATCCTGTGTGGGATTATCAGCATCATGTGATCATTTTAAAATACTCTCAAAGCTAAAGCAGTGAGACTAAAACAAACATCTGAAAACGTTTTTATCCCACAATCCAGAAGCTATTAATCCTCATTTTGAAGCCTTTTTCAAAGGAATCTAACATAAAAAGCCAGATTCCTTCAGACTTCGCCAAATATGTAATTTTTTCTTTGTTTGTTGAAATGACTCAGGATGCCTACTTTAAAATTTGAGGCTAATGAACATTAAAGGAGTTTTTGATGCTCAGGATTAGATCATGTTCCATATTTTCTACAGTCTGCTTACTTAAAGTCCCTCTAATGATCAGACTTGTTTTAATTGTGTTCCAACATAAAAACAGGTCACTGAGTGAAAGAACAAACTCTTTATGAATAGTAAAGGGGAACCTATTAAAATGCATCTCCCCTTATAACCACGGTTCCTCCCTTTTTGAATTAAATCCGTATTTTCCAGACTACAGTTAAAAGATCTGTAAGATTAAGTCCTGCTCCATCACTAATGACTGCCAATTAGTCAGCCTTTCGCTCTGCTCAACATGAACTTCTACCTAATTAAAGAACTCGTGTTTCTGTGTGATGCAGAGCAGGGATAACTTGTTCGGCATGCTCTCTGGGGTTTGTGTCAGCACTATGTGAGTGTGGGGCCCCATCCTATCACGGCTACCTGTTGACGAACTCCTCAAATGGGATGCGGTGGGAGTAGCCCTGTCGGCGGATGTTCACAGTCTCCAGGATCCCTGTGTAGCGCAGCTGCAGCATCACCCTCTCCTTAAAGAAACGAAGCGCCTGCCTGTCGTCGTTGGGTTTGATGCAGCGCACAAAGTGAGGCTGGCCCACCACCATCTTAGACAACAGGTCCATCAGGGAGTACTATGGGAAGGCACCAATAGGAGAGTAGGAAGAGGTAGAGCAAAAATCTACATTGGTATTTTATATGAATACAAACATGTGCAAAAAGTGTTTTTGTTAAGACTGAAAGGCATGCTAACTCATCCGTACTCTATCTATACCTGTGTGTTCCTGTTCAGGGTGGGGGGTGCTGGTGTCTATTATTGAAAGTGAGGCGAGGCAAATCCTGGAAAGGATGCTAGTTTATCCGAGTCAAACAGCCATGCACACGCTTCCGGTTGGTAACAAGATGGCGCCTGTGCTTGGCTTAGCCTCAGTCACCGGCCACTTTTTCAAACTTTTCTCCACTAACCTCCTCTTTTCCACCTTGCTCCTGTCTGCGATCCTCTTCGGTAGTGTCCCTGCTACCATCTCCTATGATCGCCAGACTCTTTTGTCCTTCCGTTCGTTCACGATCGCCCAAGATGCATCGAGGACGTACCTCCCTGTTTGTTTATCCGAGCGGCGCACTGGCCCGGAGCCAAACGACAATCCCAACCAGGTCGCCTCCAGCGATGTTCATTCAGTCCCGGGAAACCGTCGGAGGAAAAGAGGTACACGAGCAGGAATCCAGGTGAGAATAAAGCCCCCTTCAGACAGGCCATGAAAAACGGAAATGTTCCGGACTCTGTCCGTAAGACCTTTCTGTCTGAATACAAACATCCGGATAGCGTGCTCCGGAATTTATCCGGACGAAGCCCCTAGTAACAGGTCCGGACTTGTTACGGACAGGGTGGCTGCTTCAGACTGGTGAGGTAAAGTTCCGGACAAGGGGGAGGAGGAGGGTACCGGGGGACGCTGTGCGCACCCAGATAGCCTGCTGCTGTAGCATGCGGCGAACCACGGCAGCTCGCCTCCTACGGTACCGTCTAGACGCGCGACGGAGCGCTTCACACCGCTTCAGTGATTCCTTTAACCATTGAGCTTCATCATCCAGGTCTCTTATGAGTCTTCGTGTGCGCAGAATTATGCTTAAGCGCCTCGTGATTTTTATCTTGAGAGGCGCTATAGAAATATTTTCTTCTCCTTCTTAACATAAGTCCGATTCCCCCCACCCCACCCCCCGCCGTCGTCAGACATCTGGAACTTTTCCCTGCTGTGTGAACGCAGCCGAAAGGACAAGTTCCGGTACAAAAGTGGTGTGTCTGAAAACACAGTTCCGGTTAAAAACCGGATTGAATTGTCCACAAATGTTCCAGAATGTCTGTCTGAAAAGGGCTTAAGACTTCTCTTAAAGCGTGGTTTATCTAGTAAACATCAACAGGATCTTCTAGCTTCTTGTCCTTTGTTTGGCAACTTGAGCGCCACTTCCGCATTCCCGCCAGGCCGCGTTGCGGCGCGGTTTCTCCATCCAAGTTTTTTAAGGTCGGTTTATCCTCATTACTCAGTGGTTTCTCCTTCTGTTTCCTCCATAAGTGGTCTTTATAAACACCGTGGATCTAACCCTGCTAATTTACGTCCACTAACGCCAGCTGTTCCTGTAGTTTCTGATTCCTCCACCTCACTCAGCATGGCTCTATTAAATACCCGCTCTGTTAACAATAAGTCCTTCCTGCTCAATGATCTAATTCTCTCTAAAAACCTGGATTTTCAGTTTCTGACTGAAGTTTGGCAGCAAACATCTGATTATTCTGGTCTGCTTGAACTCTGCCCGAGTGGTTGTTCTTTTCTTAGCCAGCACCGGGGTTCTGGTCGTGGTGGAGGCCTAGCTGTTGTTTTCAGAGACCATCTTCCATGTAGCTCTACAACCTCTGGTCACTTTGCATCCTTTGAACTGCAGCTGATTAAAGTCGGACATAAGGACCCGTTCTACTGTGCTGTGGTCTATCGTCCACCTGGTCCAAACAGTTCTTTCCTTCAGGAGTTTAGTGACTTTCTATCCTCCCCTGTGAAGCTGTCCAGACTGGTGATTGTTGGTGACTTTAACATCCACATTGATGATCCCTCTGATCACTTTGCCATGAATTTCTCCAGCCTTATGGACTCCTTCAGCTTTACCCAGCATGTTTCTGGCCCCACACACACCAGGGGGGCACACTCTAGACCTTGTTTTTACCCTGAGTCTAAATACTGACAGTGTTTGTCCTGAGGACGTCTATATTTCAGATCACCGTTGCATTTTCCTTAACTTGTCAGTTTCTGCGTCCCCACCTCCTGCTCGCCGTATGGTTAGTTCTCGTTTTCTTAATGAGAGCACAGCTAGCAATTTTTCTGCTGCTTTTGATCCACCCTGTTCTTCTGATAACGACCCAGGTTCCTTAACTTCTCAGTTCAATGAGCACTGCCTCTGTATTCTGGACAACATCTGTCCTGTCAGAACCAGACCAGTTCCTGCAGTGAACCCTACTCCCTGGTTTTATGACAGCCTTCGCAGCCTGAAGCGCCAGTGCAAAAAAATTGAGCACTTGTGGAAGAAAACCCATCTCCACGTCCATCTGCTGCACCTAAAGGATCTTCTGTCATCCTTTAACTCTGCAGTCAGAGATGCTAGGGTTTCCTATTTCTCCAACCTGGTGTCCCAGAGCAAAGGGAACTCCAAGGTACTGTTTAACACCATCAGCAGCATCGTGTCTCCTGCCTCTCCTACAGCCTCCATCCACTCTGTTGCAGACTGTGAGAACTTTCTGTCTTTCTTTGAGGACAAAGTCAATAAGGTTAGATCTAGCATCTCTCCTTCAGCCTTATCGCTGCCTCTCCCGACTCCAACCAGGCCCATCATCCTAGATAGCTTTGTTCCTGTTTTTTTGCCTGAGTTAACCAAACTAGTTAACTCTACGAAGACCTCTGCATGCCCCCTCGACATCTTACCCTCATCTTTGTTTAAAAGTGCTTTTCAGTCCATCAGTCCCAGCGTGGTCTCCATTTTTCATGCTTCTCTGGTTTCTGGTCAGGTCCTTGCTTACGTTAAGAATGCTGTAATCCACCCGCTTCTTAAAAAACCGAGTCTTGACGCCTCTCTCCATAGCAGCTTCAGACCCATCTCTAAACTTCCGTTCATCTCCAAGATCTTGGAAAAGGTTGTGGCTAAACAACTCACAGCTGCTCTTGATGAACATAACATCTATGATTACTTACAATCAGGTTTTTGTAGAGCTCATCCTACTGAAACAGCTCTTCTTAGGGTCTCTAATGACCTTCTGACTCACAGTGATGCAGGGGACTGTTCTGTTCTGGTCCTGCTGGACCTGACTGCAGCCTTTGACACTGTTGACCATCACCTGCTACTGGAGAGGCTGAGAGACTGCGGGTAGACCTATTTGGAACTGCTCTGGAGTGGTTCTCCTCTTATCTCTCTGAGCGCTCCTTTTCTGTGGCCGTCAACCAAGTTTAGGTCCTCCACCACTTCCCTTGCCCATGGTGTCCCACAAGGTTCTGTGCTGGGGCCACTGCTCTTCCTCCTCTATCTGCTTCCTCTTCAGCACATCCTGAGCTCCTTCAAAGGAATCTCCTACCGTCTTTATGCGGATGACATCCAACTGTACATCTCCTTTAAGCCCCATGAGATGTCGAAGCTGCAGCTGTTACACACCTTCTTAGACTCTATTAAAACCTGGATGGCTGGGAGCTTTCTACAGCTGAATGAGGATAAGATTGAGATCCTCATCTGTGCCCCAGACAAGCTGGTTACCAAAGTCAGAGACTCTCTTGGTCAGATTGCTTCTCACACCAAACCTTCCGTCAGGAATCTTGACATGACCTTTGACCCAGCTCTCACCCTGAATTCTCATGTCAGTTCTCTTGTTCACGCTTCCTTCTTCCATCTTAGGAACATTGCTAAGCTGAGTCCCATTCTGTCCCGCTCTGAACTTGAGACTGTTCTCCACACCTTCATCTCCTCCCGCTTAGACTACTGTAACTCTCTTTTCACGTGTCTGAGCAGAACGTCCCTGAACCGTCTACAGGTGGTTCAGAATGCCTGTGCTCGGCTTCTGACCAAGTCCTCCAAACACACCCACATCACCCCGCTTCTCCTCCAGATTCATTGGCTGCCATTCAACTTCAGGGTTCATTTCAAGATCCTGGTTCTGGTCTATAGGGCCTTACATGGACAAGCACAATCTTACATTGGTGATCTTCTTAGTCCCTACACTCCCAGCAGATCCCTGAGGTTCAGTGATCAAAGCCTACTGGTTGTGCAGCACCAGGCTAATGACCAAAGGTGACAGATCATTTGCTGCTGTGGCCCCCAGACTCTGGAACTCTCTCCCCCTGAGCCTGAGATCAGTGGACTCAGTGGACTCCTTCAAAAAGCAACTGAAGACTCACTTGTTCAAGCTGGCTTTTGTATGACCTTCTTCATCACTCTCTCTCTTTATTCTGCTCTCCCCACCTATTCCACTTTCATCAGGATCCACTGATTTCCCTCTTTCATGTTCACTCTCTCTTTAACATTTTTTAATCATAATTGTCTATTTTGTGCTAATTTTAAATACATTTTAAACCATTTTCTAAATTCTTTTTTATATTTTTACATTTTTTGTTTTTGTGATGCGCCTCATGATTTTTTTCTTGAGAGGCGCTATAGAAATGATATTTTTTCTTCTTCAGGTGCCATTCCTGTCAGCTAAGATCAGGAAACTGAGGCTACAATGCGCACAGGCTCACCAAAATAGAAGATTGGAAAAATGTTGCCTGGTCTGATGAGTCTCGATTTGTGCTGCAAAATTCGGATGGTAGGGTCAGAATTTGACATCAACAACGTGAAGGCATGGATCCATCCTGCCTTGTATCAATGGTTCAGGCTGCTGGTGGTGGTGTAATGGTGTGGGGACCATCTTCTTGACATACTTTGGGCCCCTTAGTACTAATTGATCATCACTGCAACGCCACAGCCCACCTGAGTATTGTTGCTGACCATGTCCATCCCTTCATGACCACAGAGTACCCATCTTCTGATGGCTACTTCCAGCAGAATAATGCACCATGTCATAAAGCTTGAATCATCTCAGACCGGTTTCTTGAACTTGACAATGAGTTCACTGTACTCACGTGTTCTCCACAGTCAACAGGTCTCAATTCAGTGGAACACCTTTGGGATGTGGTGGAACGGGAGATTCACATCAAGGATGTGCAGCCGACAAATCTGCAGCAACTGCGTGATGCCACGGTGTCAGTATCGACCACACTCTCTAAGGAATGCTTCCAATACATTATTGAATCAATGCCACGAAGGATTAAGGCAGTTCTGAAGGCAAAGGGGGGTCCAACTCGGTACTAGCAAGGGGTACTCAATAAAGTGGCCAGCGCGTGTACATTCTACTCCTCATTTATGGTCACAAGCTTTGAGTAGTGACCGAAAGAATAAGATCCCTGATGCAAGGAGTTAAAATGAGTTTTCTTCTCAGGGTGTCTGGGCTCTCCTTGTCATCCAGGAGGGACTCAGAGTAGATCCACTGCTCCTACACATTGAGAGGAACCAGCTGAGGTGGCTCGGACATCTGGTTATATGATGCCTCCTAAGTGCCTCTCAAACGTCCCCTAGGTGAAGTTTTCTAGGCACCTTTAACTGGGAGGAGACCCAGGACACGCTGTAGGGACCATGTTTCTCATCTGGCCAGGGAATGCATTGGGATTCCCCTAGCTGGCCCAAGTAGCTGGGGAGAGGTAAGCCTGGGCCTCTCTGCTGCTACTGGCCCCATGAACCGACCCTAGATAAAAGGAGGTAAAAGGATGGATGGATGCTCCCTCCTGGCACACACAAACCAGAACTATCCCAATCAGAAGGCTGATGAAGTACAAGTCTCATAGTTGTAATACACACTGGTGTGTGGTGAAAATTGTCCACTGCATTTGACCCATCCCTATAGGTAGCAGTGAGCTACAGACACGGCTGCGCCCGTGAACCATATGGTGGTTTAACCCCCAATCCAACCCCTTAACGCCAAGTGTCAAGCAGGGAGGCATTGGGTCCCATTTGTTAAGTCTTTGGCATGACCCGACCGCCATTTGAACTCCGATCTCCCAGTCCCAGGATAGACGCTCTACCACTAGGCCACTGAGCTGGTTGATAATGATTCTTTAAACTGAAGGGAATATTGAGATAAAAATATTGATTATATTCCTTCCAAGTCCATCCATGATCTTGCATAGTTTTCCTCGTCTTCACTGGTTAAGTGTGACAGTCTGAGCAACCTGTCACAGTGTCCCGATTGATCATGCGCCCTGGCTACTTGGCCAAGGGGATGTCCCTTTGGCTGACTGGTTAGAGCGTATGACTCTCACCCGGAAGTCTGGGGATCGAATCCCGCCTGGGCCCTCGTTTATCCACCTTGCCACATAAGTAACACTCTGACTTATTGATCCTCTCTAACAGTCTCTAGTTTTGCTTTGATCTTGCAGTCAGGCTATATTGATACTGTTGATGTTCATCAATAGTGCATGAACTACAATAAGAAAGATTTCTGCTCGGAATATTTTAACATTATTAATGATGCCGTTTCAAATCTCTGAAGAAATAATCAAAACCTGTCAGTGTCTTAAAAAATAACACATTAAAAGATTTCAGCAAAGTTTAGCTTGAAACACCCACACGGAAATAAGAAGCCACAGTCTGCCTCCTCATGTTGGTGGTTTCTTCCGGGTGACGCATCATCTCCATAGTGTCCACCTGAACACAAACATTCATGGGCATTAATAAAACAGATTCAAATTAGACGCTGTTGATTCACAGCCCGGCTCCCTCAGTGGGCTCTGCAGAGATAAACGCTTTTTGATGGCAGGTCTCTCTGCTCTAAATAGGCCGACTGGAAACACACAGCTGTACTAACGGTGTTGTCAGTGCAACAAAAGCTCATAAACACTTAAAACGAACAAACTAGAGTCGTTTGGCACTGCTGTGGGGCATGGGAAAACTGCAGAGCATTCAGAGTAATAAGAGTTTTCGTCACCGTTCGAATGACGACAAATTAACGAGGACACAGTTTAAGCTTCTAACGGCCTTCTCTGTTCATAGCTTCATCAAAACTAATGATGCAGTAGATTTTTGATGGCATATGTTAATACTTTATTTTGTTCTTGCTCAAAGGGAGAAAGGTACGTTCCCTGGTGAAGAGAGGAACGAGATCCTCTGACACTTCGCTGTTCTGAAAGGAGATCATACACGAGAACAAACGGGTCTCTGAGACCCACTTCCACTATTCTAACAAGCGTCCCGCTACTTTAATCTAACAACCTTCTCTTCGTTGTCGGTTTCCGTCTACTTTTCTCCAGCTCTGATAGAGAACAAGACAGCATACATATTACATCAGTCACACTGAGCTGTTATTAGGAAGTCACGAATAACTGAGGAGGTGGAAGTACATCAAAGAGGAGCAGTTTCCTCTACGGTTATTTTTCCTAAAATGTTGGTCTGTGTTTGTGTCTAATTTGAATTTTTTTTCTCAGTAATCTAAGAGAATATTTGTTTATGTTGATAACTCAGAATTGTGGCGGAAAAAATAGTTCAAAAGAGATGATTTACATTTTCCACATCCAGACTTTGATTGATGTTAGGCGAGAGCGCGACGGCGAGCACAATTCAGAGATGACAATAATGTTCGGCTGAATTCTGAGGACTGTGTTTGTCACATAAAACTGCTTGCAATTTGGATCTGCTCTGCAGTTTTGCAGAAATCTTACCTTCAGTAGGTATTTGGGTGACTTTGAGTGCAGCACATGTTGGGAAACAATGTGGAAGGAAAAAAGAGAAGTGGACGGAAAAGAAAGAAAGAAGTGCACCTTAAAGGGGGTTTCCACAATGCAGAATTAGAAGAATACACAAGAATTAAAGTTTTAAATGTCACATTCAATTCCAATATGTCAGGGAAAGAAACTAGAATGTATTGCCTTTAAAAAAGTTCTGTTAAAATTCATGAACAATTAAAATCACATCTACTGAAACAGCCTTTTGTAACAGCCTCAGTTTGGAGAAACAGAGTTTATTCCTGACCTTGTATGTTTAATAATTTAAATAAACAATCATTAGTTTTAATAGTAAAGGATTCACTTGTTAGTCACTAGTATGAATCAAGGCCTTGTGAGTAATCTTCTGTGGGGAAAGAAGCTCTCGCGCTCTTGTTTCAGGAAGTAGAAGTTGGTCAGAGAAGTGGGGGGCAGAAAATGACGGGATTCTTACCCTTTATTATAATATTCCTGATATGCACATATCTCACCTCTGATTGGCTAACAGCAATGTGACTCTTCCTCTGTTTGCTTCTCTTTCTTTGGTAAAATATGTAACGTTGACGTTTTACCTCCACAAATAACACAAACCCAAACATTTTCCACAATGTTGTGGAGTTGCTAATGCTGCAGGTTAATTCTAATGGCCAAGACATGCTCTGATCTCTCCTGGCTGCAAAATCAACAGTTTTTTGTTGTCACAGGCGAAGGTGGGAGAGGCCATTAATGCAAATGTTCCTGTAGAAAAGACTGGCTTTTCTTACCTGATCAAATTCTCATCTATTTTATTTTGACAGCTAATACAGTTGATGGAGGTTAAAGACATTTTCTACATTCAGCATGCATGCGACCAATCTTATTACAAAAACAACAAGTAACAGTTTCTGTGTGAATGAGACCTTTAAAAAGCCACTAGCAGCAGCTGACTGTACCATTTCCTGTGCAACACGAGCCTCTTCCTGAAGAAATGTTTAATATTTCAACCAAAACAAGAAAACTTAACAACATTGTAAAGGTTTATAAAGTGCATTTGCTCGAACAATTATGACATATTTGAGATCAGAGTTACTTTAAGATGGCAGAAATGTACTTTGGTCTTAAATCTGCTCAGTCTAGCCAGTAGCATATCAATCCAGTTAAAATTAAACTTGGTCTCCGCAAACCGAGAGCTTCAAATTGCTTTCTAACACAGGTAAGATGTTATTTATTAAAAATAATTTTCAAACAACACTCAAAAATGTTTGAACTTTTTTTGCAATTAAGAGAAAAATTGCCAACTTTATTAAGTAAAGAAACAAAAACAACATTCCTAAAAAAAGATAATTTACAATTTAATACAGAAAGTCATGACTTTTCACCAAAGTCTCACAATTGTCAAAATACTTAACTGCCTGCCAAAAACAAAAGTCTATAAATGTAATTTATGACTTTCAGGCTGCTGACACCAAATGCCAGATGGCATTGCTGCATCACCAGAAGCAAGACAGCAAACATAACAGGGTAGTCAATTAATGTGGCAATGCTTCATAGCGCAGGTTTTTACTGAGTTTCTTATAGTGAGATGCCCGCGAGCAACAAATAAAAAGCAGAATGTGATGATTTGTAATGGAGGAGGCTCACCTTGCTGCGTCCTGAACTCAGCTGAGGAGGTAAGGATCTGGATGCAGCAGTGACCCGAGCCCTGGACGTCGCCAGATTTCCTGTTGGACATCAAACTATTAACATCCTGACAAATTCCAGGCACTGATGAAGTTTGTAATTGTGCTGGGAAATGGAATTATTTATTAAGAGTCGGCTGTCACACTCTGAGTTTAGTTGGGGAGTGAGGTATTCGGTCACACATCTTTGTTAGAGTTCTTACAGCAGCTGAAGCATAGGAGGGTTCAGAAGAACCCTAAATCTCTGTGAATCCCATTTGGACTCAGGAGTGCAGCTGCATGCACAGCAGTCCAACAGCCCCCACACGCAGCGGAGAGGATATGAGCAGAGCATATGCAAGACAGTCTGAACATTTCAAAGTTTCTGCACAAGATGTCCAAATGTTTTCCCTGGCTATATCTTCAGAGGCTAAACTGTGATTAATAGCAGTGAAAGAAGCCTTTGAAGCAGGATTGGTGACATCAAAGTCCTAATCCATGGGTGGCAGGATTTTTATAATGAGTGGGAAGTATCTTAACACATTTCAAAGGGTTTACTCCATGAATAAACAATAGCTGCACAGATGTGCCACACACACCTTTAGAAAGATACGTCTGCAGACACAGGAGGGCAGCATTACCCAGGCAGCCGTGTAGGCATAGAGGTAAACCTTTGTAAGTTTTTTAAGATAAAGCTGAAGTGACAGGCCAACAATTGTTCTAGTTTTTCTACCACACGCAGCCCAACTGCTAACATGCAAATGTGCAGACGGCTCTTGCAATATTTTCAAGCTTCACGTCAGCTACTGAGGATGTTGTCTGCCAGCCAGCCAAAAGCTCAAACACTGGATCAGCGCCTGGCTCTCCTCAGAGGCCGCTGCGCTATCAGATCGGAAGTTTCAAACGCTGCAAGAGATCAAAATCAATTTATGACGGATTAATTAACAGAGAGCCCTCCTCTAAGTTTAAACAAAGGACGCCCTGTTGGTGCTGCAGGTTTCTCAGTGTGCTGATAAAAATACACAAACATGAGCACAGACGCTGCTGTAGTCAAAACAGCCCAGAACATATGATGTGAGAGCACTTCAAAAGCCTCTCTTAATCTGGAAATGATTTTGCTTTTGGTTTCTGACGGTTGTCGACTAATTTCTGTGTATTTTTTCACCAATTTTTTCCCTTTTTTAAAAAACACATTTAGCAAAAAGCTTTTGATATGTTTAAACATGGTTA